TGTGGATTAACCAGCAGATTTGCCCCCGTGTGATAACATCCTTAGAATGCCATCTTGTGCCATACTTATGTAGAAATAGGGCATATTTTCCAGTAATTTCTGATCTCAGTAGGTGTTCTTTTCTATAGTGTGTATATCAGGGATGAGAATCATGTGGCCTCTCAGATGTTCTTGAACTACAGCTCCCAGCATGTCATTTTCTTTTTGAAGAGAGCAACAAATAATTTACCAATTTGCGTCTGGCTGCAAGAAAGTCTTTATAAACTACAGTTCTCTAATACTGTTTACGGTTCAGGACTTCTTTAACACAAATTTTGCATGTGGTATTTTAGCTCAACAAACAGCATTTTCAATATAGAAGACAGCATTTTCTGCATGGAAAATGTTATCTCTGAGGAGAAATGTTTTATGCTCAGAAAATGCTACAGTTGGGGACTTATTCTGCACAATATCACACATAGTTGTTTTGCAGAGAAAACAGCATTTTCTGCCTGGAAAATAATATTTCCTCACAAATATTATTATCCATGCAGAAAACAGTTTCCTGTGTAGAAAATGCTGTTTCCTGAGTGAAATAGCCCTAAATGAATTTGCATAGAAGAACTGCAAAGATTCTCATCCGTCCAGGATTCTTTTCATCATGGTTTCTCAACACTTGAAAAATGTTTTTTGATCATTTTAAAAAAAAATATTTACAAATGTTGTTTCCATCCCTGTTTTTCAAAGTGCTGCTGGTGCTGCTGGATTTTCAGTTTGTGTATTTATTAATACCATACATTTCTCCAATATTGGACCCAAAATGGCTAAACAGTTAAACAACTTCTGAAGGATCTGAGTTACCCATGAATTTAGCATTGTCTGAAATTCTGAATTTAGTGCCAATTGCTGTATGGGGAGACTTGCAGTTGATTTCTAGAATGGTTAATTTTTCCATGCTCTGTCTTTGTGTATTAGACTAACCAAGAAGTCCTGGGTTTCAAATACCAGTTCAGCAATGAAACTCACTTGGTGTCTGTGAATAAGTACTTTTCACTTTGGGCTACCTAACTCATAGAGTTGTCAGGAGGATAAAATAGGGAGAGAGGAGAACCCTATATGCTGCCCTCATTGCTTCAAAGAAAGGTTGGGGTACAAATGTAATATGTACAGTTAATCTGCAAAGTTTTACCATGCACCACAGGGTGGCATGGGTGTGTATGTTTAGCTTGAAATATGTACTTTTAAGTGTCAGTAACAAAGGAGGATTGTAGTCAAGAAATAAAAATGGAGACTGTGGTGAACGAATCAGAAAGGCAGGCATGAAGGAACCCAATAAGGTTCCCAAGTATAAGGATATGTAATTAAATATCAGTCAGAATTAAATATCAAAGTCACAATCATCCATGGCATAGTATTTCCAGTTTCTATGTATGGTTGTGAAAGCTAGCCAGTGAAAAAAAACAACTGACAGGTAGAAAATGAATAATTTGAAATGTGGGGCTGGAAGAGAGTTCCTAAGATATCATTGTGGAGAGAAGGCAGGTTAGAGCCAGCCCTGGTGACAACCAATCAGGACTAAGCTGGCGACAGCCAATAGAACAGGGGTAGGCAACCTTTCCCCTTTAAGGGCCGAGGGACTTCAGGTCCCAGAAGCCTCAGCCATGTTGGCCAATAGTCCCATCTTGGCCAGTAGCTCCTGGGATTCTGGGAGCTGAAGTCCTTTGGCCCTTAAAGGGGAAAGGTTGCCTACCCCTGCAATAGAATGTTGGGCTGTAAGGAAAAAAATTCCGTTGGGAACAGTTGGAAGTCAGATAGATTTGAATTCCAGACAGTGAGGGTCTGGTGGTGAAGGTTCCAGAGTGGAACAGGGTTAAGGTCCAGAAGAGAGGGACCTCATACCCATAATAAACTCCAAGTGAGGGAGTTAATAAAGAGAATATCCTGAGGGGATATCCTTTAGAGCAGGGGTAGACAACCTTTCCCCTTTAAGGGCCGAGGGACTTCAGCTCCCAGAATCCCAGGAGCTATTGGCCAACATGGGACTATTGGCCAACATGGCTGAGGCTTCTGGGAGCTGAAGTCCCTCGGCCCTTAAAGGGGACAGGTTGCCTACCCCTGCTTTAGAGGTTGGTTAAGAAATAATGGTAAAGGTACCCAAAGAAGGGCTAAGAGTGTCCTTCCAACCATGGATAATGTGAACCCAACCCTTGACCACAGGACACCTCCAAAGTGGGCATTCCTACCTACTTCCAACCATGGTTAGTGGGACCCTAACCCCTGACCACAGATTGCCTCCAAACTGGGCATTCATACCTAGATACTTCCAATCATGGTTAATGGGAACTCAACTCCTTCCCATAGATTGTCTCCAAACAGGACATTCATAGCTACATCCAACCATGGTTAATGGGAACCCAACCTCTGACTATAGATTGCCTCCAAACTAAGAACTGAAAACCTACTTCAAAAATATGGTTCATAGGAACCCAGTGTCTGATGATGGAAACAACTCTCTTTTCTCCCAGAGAGCCATGTGGGGGTAATTGAAAGCGTTCCAGGGAAAGGAGTGTTTTAGAGTATTATTATTTGTAACTTTAACCAGTTATAACGACTGCAGCAAGACCAAGTGAAACATTGTTTCTTGTATTGTAAATAAAGTTTTGTTGTTACTTTATGAAACACTTGTCTACAGTGTGAATGAATATCCACACTACTAAACCTTATACAAGATAGGTTATACCAGAGTTTTAGAAGAGAAGGTTGGGGAAGTAGTGGCTCTTTGCATAGAGTGGTGGCAGTCGTGGGACAAAAAGGGTCCATCATGTGGCCACAAATGAAAGAGAAGAGAAAAGTGTGCGTGACAACATCTTCATGATATGCACCAGTAGTAGAGAAAAGTTGGAACTTATTACCCACTTCATCAACTCTGTTCATCCTACTATTACATTCACCTACAGCAAATTCACCCTGAAGTTCCACTTATCTCTTTCCTGCATGTTCTCCCAGCCACCAGACATACCACAGTTGTTACAGGTCTGTTTTAGAAACCAGCTTATGACCATATGTATTTAAACTGGAACTCCTGTAATGTCTGCGTATTCAATATATCTTGAATAAGATCTAAAATAGACGCATGAAGCATTTAGATGTACTAAAATGCAGGTGTAGAATATAAATGGTCCCACAGTTCATGTCAAAAGTTGACCATTCCTCCTTCCCTACTACTTTATTTATAAAATAATCTACTTTATTTCCCAGTTCAAGTCTGATAGTGAGTGTTAACTGGGCTGCAGAGGAAAAGTGTTTGAAGTAACAAGAGCACAGGGGCATAAGAGAGGGAAAGGGTTCGGCTCCTCTCACTTGTATTCACCTGGTGGCAGTGTGTGGGACAAAAAGGATCCGTGGTGTGGCCACAAATGAAAAAAAGAAAAAGTGTGTTTCACAATCATGGACCACTAAAAAGACAAATGAATGAGCAAAACAGGCCTGTATTCACACTAGAATTCAAGATGACCAAACTGAGGCTGTAATAATTTGGATATATCATGAGACAGCATGACTAATTGGAAAAGATGATAATTCTTGATAAAGTTGAAAATAAGAGGAAGAGTACATCACAGGTGGGTTGATTCATTCCAAGAAGCCACTGAGTTTACAAGACCCTGAATTTGCGAGACCTGAGTAAAGTTGTTGATGATCTACTACAGTTCTTGCAAGTCTCTCATTCTAGGGTCACCATAAGTCAAAATCAAGTTGATGGCAAATAGCAAGGAAACAAAGAAAGTGAATTGCCACTTTTCTCCAGCAAATAGAATTTTAGATGTTCTGTGAATGCAAGGTTGCCTTCGGTAATCCTTTTAGTAATTGTAAAATGGGTGTATACAAATAATTAGCTTAAGTGTTTAGCCTACTAGTTTCTGTGATATTGTTCAATGAGCCCTTTAACAGTGACGTGCACACACATCTCAAACATTTATAAAATGATGACTGCATCAGTTTCTGAGGCCCATCAAGACTGGGACTTTCTATGCTCCTGATTTAGTATTATAGTGTACAGTCAAGAGGACATGTAGTGTCCCAGAGAAAAGAGGTACAATCCCCCCCTCCCACCCACTGCACATACATACACAACTCATGTATTTCAACAGTACATCTTTTAGTATGGGAAACTAAAATACCAGGTTCTGTAGGCTGTATTTCAGAGGAAGGAACTGGCAATATCACCTCTGAGTTTTGCTTGCCTAAGAAACCCTATGAAATTCATGGAGTTG